TCGAAAGCAATGGAGTTCTTGTGATTATGATACACTGTACTACATAGATAACGCACAAACGCTTCTTTTTCATATCTTCAATGACTGGCGTCGGCTGTCTGAATCTTGTGACCAGCTCCTTGTAGAGAATTTCAAAGGCCATCCAATGGTATGTTTTTGAAAAAAAAATTTTCCATGATGGCAGAAAAACGACTAAAGAACTGTTTAAAGCACTGAGATAGATGAAAATCATTATATTGGCCAAGTATTTCGACTATTGGACCATGTGGGCATACCTCAGAAAGACTTCTTTCTAGCTCATTTCGAAGCCCGTAAAATTCTCTACCGAATGATATATAAAGTAAAATGGTTAACGAGAAAATTAATCATTATTATAAGCATGAACGACATCGATCCACCGATTTGAAATGCTACTGAGTATTTCGAACCTTAGACTACCCAGTTATACTTTGTTCTGACTGTCTTCTATATCACTTTGCAGCCCATGAAAGTCTCTATCGAATCATATATGAAGCAGGTTGGTCAAGAACAAATTAAATGGATGGTGCAAACATAACACGTTGACCTACTGATTTGCTCAGATAGCATCGAGTATTTCAGATTTTAGGGTACCTAGTTACATTTTGTTCTGACTGCCTCATATAACAGTTTGAAGCTCGTGGAATTCTCTCGCGAATGATATAAGAAGTAGGATGGTCAAGAACAAATTAAATGGTTGGTACAAACACGAATGAGGGTGACCTATCGATTTGCTGAAATAGTACCGAGTATTTGAAATTCTCTATCGAACGGTGTATAATAGTTGATATTTGCTCTAGGTGAACGAGGTGGAATGATAAAAATACTCTGAGTAAAGGTCATTTAACGAGGGAAGGCTTCTTTTTTCTAAAATGTGTTCCAGGGGCACTGAAAAGGATTTTTAAGGTCTAAAAATATGTTAAGATTAATCGCGGACAAAAACTATGAGTTAACATAAGGCTAATTGAGAGGGGTCTATTTTGGCTCTTATCGTCCCCCTTTCTTTCCAGAAACTGGAAAAATTGAAAATTTTTTTATACCGACCGGCAGAGGTGCAACCGGTATCGGTATACTGGTACCGGTACCGGTACGAATTATAACGCCGACCGGTATACCAGCATTAGTATGAAGTATAATCAGTTGGCCGATATTGCTGGTATTCTGCGGTATGATACGATTGTTTTCGAGAAACATCGTGTAAATTCAGTTCATCTGTGACATCTTTCTTCCACTAAAATTTCATTCCAATTACTTAAGCCGTGTCGGCTTATGTAAGCTTCCTAATTTAAAAGATTGAATGGGATTGCTGTATTCGTAAAAAAAGCGTGTGAAAAATCAGCTATACATAATCAAAATGAAAAGGTTAATCTATCCGTTTGATAACATGAAATAAAGTTCACAGTAAAGATAAACAAGGAAAAAGTATTTGTATTTAGGCAAAATATGATCAAGACAGGCCGGTACCAGTCATCGGTTCCCTTATCGCATTTTTGATACCGGTTACACCCCCGCCGACAGGCAATAAACATCTTGAGGACGTGCTGTGTGATATATATCGACGAAAATGTCTGCTAGTGAATTAAGTGCGTTTCGAAAGTTTCGCTAGAGACAGGCGGATAGGAGATGATAAGACATAAAATGGACACTGGATGAAGTGCGCATTCGAAGAGAAGGCGGAGTATGGCGTAGATCATACATATATTATTTAAAATCTTACCACATCAGAAGTTGAAACAATATTTATTATCGATAAAAGTTTTCACCAATGGTATTAAATACTTAAATAGAGCCAGATGCTTTTTCTAAATATGTATCAAAAGTACATGTGTTCTTAAGAATATAATTTTCCATGTATTCAGCTTTCATTCATTTGTGCATATTAGCCAAATTAAAAAACAGATGCCATTTTTGGCAAAATCAACACTGTCGTAAAAGGGAAAAAAGTTGGATTTTCTCAAGTCGTTCCACTCCCTCCTTTCTTTAACGGCCACTGTAGTGACCAAACTCCCCTGCACAAAGGACAGCCCGTCTAGTTGATCTATCCATACTACTGACATATCGGGGAGACCAATATCCTATTTGTGTATTGATTCTATCAGTGGCTCTTCTGGAACCGTTATAGGTGGTAAAGCGCTGAATAAGCCGCAAATAGACACAGAAAACGAATAAATACCAACAAAATACACCTCTAGCATCGACAACACATTTACTCTTCCTCTAGCCCATTTTTTCACTTCGATGAGTAAAACAGAACGAGAAAAATGTGTATTTATAGCTACTAGAGGTCTGCGATTATGAGGCTCTAACTTCACTCTTCGACGTTCTCCATTTATTACAAAAGTAATACTACACATATATTGTAGTGAATAGTACTATCCTTTCGTGTTGTGTATATATACATATAATAATAGAAAAGAGTGAAAAGGATGTGGAACTACATGATGAGGAGATACAATTAAATGGTATGATAAAAGTAGTGTGATGGGGATAGAATATATGACCAAGAAAAAGATCAGAGGATGACTATCGCATCTTATATGTGGAAGGCTAGCCTGTAACGGTAGCCCAGTCAAAACATGAATTAACACGCAAGTTTTAGGTTGAGCGTGTGATTCGTGAGTGTGGCAGCTCTCTTCCTTAGCTGTCTACAGTGGAATATTTACGTCCTGGCTGTTACTAGTTACGGAGTTAGGAGGCACTTTTTGATCAGCAGTCACTCTTGAAGTTGAGACTATCAGAGTTAGACGTAGCTCAAGACAATACTCTTGGTTTCAAGAGTTTGACACTCTCAACTGGTTTGACTCAAGATCTTGACGTAAGGGTCTTGACGTTCTCAATATCGTGATCTCAACATTGCTGACACCCTCAAGATGTTGACTCAATATTACTGACATGTGTGATTTTCCAAGAGCTTGACATTTTGAAAAAATGTTTTTTCATTAGGGCCCCTTTTTCATTATTGCTTTGATTAATTAAAAGGAAAATTGACTGTAGTTAGTGCCAGAAAACGAGTTTTGGCGGCTTCTGCAGTGAATAAAGCGTTCGAAAAGTTAAACTCAAGAGCATAAAATCTGAGAAATTCACTTTTGTAAGTTCTTGAACTTTGACAGTTCAAATTACAGAAGAGAAATGGCAGAATGTATCTACACTTGAACTTGAACTTTATTTGATGTGTAGAAAATAATCTTCAGAAAATCCTATACACATAGGTAAGCACAAAAAGCCAGAGACTTGTAGGAAAAAGTACCACCTGTACGGAAAAGAAGAAAACATCCGTTTAGAACGAAGTAAAAGACACAAAAAACAAAAAATAAAAGAAAAAGAAAACCAAACTACTGTGCTAGAAGTGACCATGTTCAAAGCAGTAAGACAGATACCAAAGATTACTCAAATGTGCAGATGGATTCGCAGTGCTCTTTTGAAAGAAGTGACTGTCCTTGCGGTCACTACTTGATCTGGCACAGAGTTCCAGTCGACGGCTGTTCGATAAAAAAATGAAGAGGCTACATGTCCTCTGGAAACTGTCGGAGTTTCAACCTGCATACTAATCTGTCGATCAGCGTTAAATCGATCTGATCTCCGATCAGTTACCGGTTTTATAAAAGAAGGAGTGAAACTAGAGAGAAGAGAAATAGCGTTTTTTACCTTAAAAAAAAGAAGTGCCTAAAAGCAGCCTAAAATATTTTCTCCTTATCCTTAAATCTGAAAGTTTCAGTTTACTAACCAAAGATGTTGCAGATTCATCGAATTTCTTAGATATCATTCGTGGCGCTAATCTAGTGACTTTTTCAAGCTTACCTCTATACCGTTTACTATCATAGACAATGCTACCATAGTCCAGTTTACTTAGAATACCTGATTTAAAAATCGCTAATCGAATCATCACTGGTGCTTCTCTAAAAGTTCTAAACATTGCTCCCAGACGCCTTTTGCATGCAAGAGATACATCTTTAATATACCCTCTCCATGATAGATCTGAGCTTAGCCGTACTCCACGAAGCGCTACTGACGTTTCACGCTTAATCACAGTTTCATTGATAGTAAAATTAAAATTAATTGCTACTGACTGTTCGCGGTTTGTGAAGTATATCCACATACACTTTGAGTTGTTTAATGTCATGAGATTTCTGTTGGCATGATCCCTCTATTTTATCTATGAAAAACTGGCAGTCCGCTGGAGAGCACAGAATGCTCATCGGGCATAACAACGAGCAGTCGTCGGCAAAAAAGAATGGGTAAAGCTGGCAATGCTGTCACCACTGGAAGATCGTTTATAAAGATCAGAAACAGTAGCGGCCCCAAAATAGAGCCTTGTGGGACTCCAGAAGGAACCCCTTCTGTTTCTGAAAGCGATCCGCCTATCCGGACTCTTTGCCTTCAATCTGACAAATAACTCTCAAACCATTTATATGGTGCTCATTTCACACCCAACAAAGAAAGCTTCGTAAGCAAGGTTTGGTGAGGAACACGATCGAAAGCTTTCTCAAAATCAAATAAGACCATGATGGAATCAGTTCCACTTTCTAGATTTTTATAAACGTTATGAGTTAAAAAGAGAAGAGCATTTGTTGTGGAACAATTTTTGCGGAAACTGAATTGTACCCAAAGAAGTAGGGAGGTTTGTAAAATGATCTACTGTTGTTTTGGAGGGTCGATTCAAGTGAAGCACGCTAAATTGTTTTTTAGGTTCTAGCTCAATAAAATTTTTCTCTATACACAGTTTTCAATGCTGAATCCAAAATAGTTAGTTTCAAAACTTGAAAGTAGAGGGAAACTGCCAAATTTGAATTTTTTGAAACTGGCGATTCTTAGCAAAACCGATCTTTTCAAACTTTTCACCCTCAAAAAACTTTTTTAAAAATTAAAACTACCCTTTCTGACTCAGCTCGAGCTCCTCTATCCAACCACGTACAAATATATCAAAAAGAAAAAGTTACTGGAACTTCGAATTACGGGTTGTCTTAGTTCCACTACAACTGAATCTACAATTTCGGTTGGGAAACATCACAGTCAGGAAGCATGCAAGGCAGGACAAGGCTCCTACGTTCGTCAGCAAAAGCTTCAATAATTGCTCTAAATAATTCATCGCTCCCTGTATTACGAAAGTGAAATACCTCGACTGTATCGTTATGGTAATGTCTAATACCCTCTCTGGTAACAGTCATAGCGCTTGCTTCATTCAAGGCAACAAAAAATATGAGCGAGAGCCAATAATTCCTTTGTGTTTCCAACAATCCGCTAATCAGTTCAGATGACTTAATAGAAAAGCAAGGAATCCATAGCCGTCTCATCCCAGTAAGTTTCGAAATTGCATCAGCACTCAATTGGGGCAACATAGAAGGTGACAACAAACCTTTAGCTGCACTTTGTCTGACGCATGCATTTCCATCGTCAAGTATAGCTAATAATCTTTTGATCACGTCCGGCGTGGCTGCACTTCCACCTATTTGTCTTAGAGCTTCAGCTGCAGCACGTCTGACATCACTATTTTCATCGCTAAGTAGAGCCAACAATCCTTTGATCACGTCTGGCGTGGCTGCATTTCCTAGCTACAGCGGCAGTATGTCTCACAATCCGTTCATTATCACGAAGTGCAGCGAATAATCTTTTGATCACGTCAGGCGTGGCTGCGCTTACATTGATTTTTCCGAGATCTTCAGCTGCATTATATCTGACCATTCAATCATTATCGCCAAGTTCAGTCAACAATCTTTTGATCACATCCGGTGTGGCTGCTCTTCCACCCACTTTTCGGAGAGCTGCAGCTTCATTCCGTCTGAAATGTGTATTTTCATCGCTAAGAGCAGCCAGCAGCTCGATTTTCAAGTCCGACAAGTCACCATTGACGTCCAAATGGAGAATTATTTTGCTCATTTTCTGTCTCACATCGTGATCTTTATTCTGAAGTAAGTCCTTCAAGGTGTTGACTATTATCCTTTCACGTAGAACTAAAGGGCTCTGTTGAAGAGATCTAATCAACCACGAGAAAAGCCTATCACCGTCGTTATCGTTTGCAGCGCATTGTAGCCACTTCGATATATGCTGCATCCATAATGCCCGTTGAGGAATTCTAGCGTCGGTGCCAGCTTCTTCAAGACATCGGATAACCAGCTGCATGTGCCTTGGGCCGATCAGGTCTAATGGAACAGATGTCATTGCTTGCCAAAATGTTTCTAAGCATGATAATGATAAAGAGTCGTTTGCACTTAATAGACCCGATGTAAAGCTGAACACCAGTAAATAACGTTGATTATACTTTTCACACTGGATAAAGTTGACCGCTTCTTGATAATATTGACCTTTCGGATCTTGTAGAGCATTCACCAAGTATCGTGCTGCAAAAAGTTCTTGAAAACTCAAATGAAGAAAATAATAATCTTTAGCAGCTTCAACATCGGTGCTCTCATGATGTGTTGTTAACGACTTCACGACTCCGATATTGAGTAATTTCTTTAGCATTTCTGACGGTCTTTTAGGATAAACGTTTCTCAATTCTTTCTCAATTAATGTCTTATCAAGAATTAAACTCCTCTTTTTCATTGCTTTAAAAGCAATATTTGCTATCACATCTAGTATGTCACTACAATCTTCTACAACTTCACTTTTATCTTTCAAAATCAAATGGCTTGAGTCGCAGTTATCAAACTTTTCCAAATATGTTCTATATAACCATTCAATTATCATACTATAAACACTTGTTATTGTGATTGTTGTTCCGTGAGTTATTGTGTCTTGTTTATTTTCTTCTCTGTATGCACTACAGATTAACTCTAATGTAATTGGTATATGACCGATACCGTATATATTTGATCTAGATTTCAAAAATGTTAATAATTGTTTAAACTTTTGTGGTTCATGGGGAGTAAAATAGTTGTTTGTATATTTTTCAATGTTCTCATTCCTAAAACCGATTATTTCCATTTGAGCATCATATTTAAGAGAATTAGTATTATATGGGCGAGACGTTAATATTTGATACGGAGATTTCATTAGAGGGTCGATAAGATTTTGCAAATGCTCACAAATCTTTAATTCATCATACCCGTCTAATAATAAAAGTATTGTGGATGAAGTGGTCGAAACAGCTTGACGTACTTCACCAAGAATAAAACGCAGGACAGACAGACCGTCATCAGTGAGCTTGTTCGGAAAACATTCTTTTTCAACAATGTCTGTCAGTGTATACTGTTCATTATTCGGCTTTTTTGGATAACGTGTAGCATTTAGAAAACGAAATCGAATCCACAGAATACATCGGAATTGTTGAAATAATTTTCCCCTGGCCCATTGATACGCAATATATTGGCAAAATGTTGTTTTTCCAATCCCTGCACGACCAAGTACTAACAGGCGTTTACGATTATCATTGAATAGTTGCTGAATTTAAATAGAGCTTTTTGTCCCGTAAATTTGTTCAAATGTCGTATAATTCGCATTCAAATGAAAGTTTTCTTCTTTTGATGATTGTTCTTCACTATCAACAATCGACAGATTAATATAAGCATTATCAATGGAATAATCTTTTCCTCGATTAACTAAACGTTCAATTCGAGAGAATGTCTTTCTATAGTATTCTCTTATAGGGTTGAATAATAAGTCAAAATCACTCATTGTGTATGATTTTTTCTCTAGTTTTTGTGTATCTTCGTTTCTGACATCTATATGAGCTTCAAGTTTGTTTTGAGGAATTTCTACATAACCACATAATAATGTATTAATTACGTCTTGTGTTAAGTTTTTATTAAGCAGTCCCAAATCTGTCTTTATTAAGTCATATAAGGTATTTCTATCAAAACAATCTAGGCCATTATATTGGCTAAGAAATTTTTCGGCACTTTGTTTAGTTCGGTTTAATTGAGTCAATATATCGTTAACTGAAGGTTTTGCTTCCAATTGATTTTCTGTATTTTGTAAAATATAATTAAATCGCTTTAATTTTTCTTCTAGTTTCAAATATGCTTGCTGATTAGCCCTAATTATTTGAATAGCATCAACAATTGTCTGAATTCCTTCAGTGATATTTGCTCTTGGACTAACTAGAAAAAAATCTTATTCAAAAAGACATATTGCTCAACAACTTTAAGAGCCGTCATCTGAACGAGAAGCAAGGGCACATGGTGAAAAAACACCATACAAACTCAGAGCTTTCTCTTCATGGCTTCAGTCACAGGATCTTTGGAAAATCAGCTCCGTTTTCAGAAAGCCAACGTACAAAGCTAGTAATTTTTGTTCATGCGGAGGTACTTCAGCTTTTACTCTACAAAACTATGCAAGTACCAGCTCTCCAGGTATCGTCGTTCGGACAGGGCTCGCTTTCCCCGAGCGCGCGTCTGTCTCCCAGCAGACATCTCTGGCAATCTCGAAATATCATGGACTATAGGTAATTGACTACGCTGAGCATAGTGGCACCATCTGTTTTTGTGTAGAAATGAAATTAACTTCGCAGAGGCATTTTTGTGAAAAACCGGTTTTTCACCTGTTACCAGCAAAATTAAAATCCTTATATCTCGATCAAATCTCATGCTGACACAAGGAAACTTTGATGAAAGAGGTGTCATATATTGTTGATCAAGTCGGTAGAAGTTGGTAGTATAGCTGGTCTACCAGGACACTGAGGCTCTGAGGGTTTCAGGATGTTTCTGATAAACCTCAAACTAATGCCCAGCTAAAATTCACCTTTCGTCTTCCATTGTGATTATGAACTTCCCTGAGCGTTTTGTGAAAGTTTCCTTGAGTCAGCATAAGATTTGACCGAGATATGAGGATTTTAATTTTGCTGGTAACAGGCGAAAAATCGGTTTTTCACAACATCGACCGATGCATTTAGGACCGAATGATCGTCGGTTTTTTTATCTGGACAGAAGATCTTGAAAAATAAGTTTGGAAACTCAAAGTTCAGCTAGAAAATGTTCGCAGAAAAGTCTGTGGAAACTGAAATATCTGATCTAAGCCCTAAAACAAATTTTTAACCG